CTTCTTGATATTTTTTTTTTTTTTTTTTTTTTTTTTTTTACTGTTGGTGCATATGCATGTAATGCCTTGACGTCCCCGATGACGCTAAAGGAGGTTAAGGATGATGTTCTCCTAGGTGATGATAGGGCAACTTCATTTTGGTACGTGTGCAACATGGTGCCTTACGTGCATATTGTAATTGTAGATATGTCTATTTGTCATCGTGATATAATTCGCAATGGGTCATAGTCCTTTAATGAAATTTATACTCCTTTTTGAATAGAAACTTGCGACAACTGATAATGGATATTGAGTTAATCTTACTCCAACTCATTTGGATTCTTGGGTTTGGAAGTAGCATCTCCCTAAGAAGGTTCGTATTTTTATCTACAAATTCTGAGGTGCATGCATGCGACACCTTGCTTCTTCTTCCGCTTGTATTTCTAGCTTGCATCAATATGAGGATGCATTACACTGCCTTCGTCATCGTCCACGTGCTTAGGAAATATGAACCACCTTATGTTGCTTCCCAAGGATGGGTTCTTACTTCTTAATTAGTCATCCTTTTTTTTTTTATTATTAACGGGGCTTAAAAGTCCAAAATACAAAAACTAATATCCACGAGGGAAAAGAACTGCAGACTTGTCAGCAAGTAAAAGAAAATGTGCCCAACTTGGGGGGGGGAACTAAAACTATGCACTCCTTCCGGGAGGGAGAATCCTAGCTTGGCAAACCCATCAGCAACTTGATTAGCCTCTAAGACATGAGTACAATCAATCTTGTTGAAGCCATCTGACATTCTGACAATGTGATTTAGCAAGGAGTAGCACGGATTTGACCGAGGACACCCTTCATTTAAAAAGGAAACTGCTGTAGATGAATCAGATTCAATGATTATAGGAGAAGAGATAAATCTATCCTTAATAAGTCTTAAGCCATGATATATGGCCCAAAGTTCTGCATGCGCAACAGAGCATCTACCAACTAATCCTGCATAAGCTAATATAAATGATCCATAGCTATCTCTCAAAATCCCTCCACACGACGCCTGTCTGTTATTCATTACTGCCCCATCACAGTTAAGTTTTAGAGTACCCGGAGGGGAGGATTCCAAGGTAACATAAGTGGAGGTGAAGAGAGAGGACAAGGATTCGGGGAGCGACCAAAGGACATGTTCTGCACCTCGTTCAGGCGGCCTTTGATTTCACAAACAATCTGAATTGGGTTAATCTGTTTCTGATTGAATATAAAATTATTTCTCGCTTTCCAAATGGAATCCAAGGTCAAACCAAAAGTTTGAACCCATGTGATCTTTGTATGAGACAGATTTAAACACATCCATTCTGTCAATGGAGAGATAAAAAAATTCTAAATCGTTATTTGTCCCATCATAGCTTGCCAAGTCGCTTTTGCCCATGCACAATCACGTAAGGCATGCAAACTAGTTTCTCTCTCTTCATGGCAGCACACACAGATAGCTTCTGAGGTCATAAACCGTGAGTATCGCCACGCATTTGTTGGGAGGCTATTGTGCGCAGTTCTCCATAACAAACAGCAAATGTGTTCTGGACCAGGCCACTTCCAGATCATTGAAAATAAAGCTTTGGTTTGTAGACTTGAAGGATGTCTTAACTTTTCGTACGCAGATTTAATGGTAAAACAACCATCATTTGACCCTCCCCACACCAAACGATCATCATCATTCTCCATAGAGGGAGGTGCTGAACCCAATACTTCTTGCCAATACTGGTCAAGAAGGAGCTCACGAATAGCATCCAGGTTCCAATTACCATCATCTCCAATATATTCTGCTACTGTTTTGCACATCAAATCCCCAGGCACCTGTTGTACAACCACTTCACACAGCAAAATGTTGGAAGGAAGCCAACGATCCGACCAGAACTTTGTATGCTTACCATTCCCTATATTCCACGCTAATAAGGGTTTCACCTACCCCCAAGCATTGCAGATACCCCTCCAGAAATTAGAAGCAACAACTCGCGTTTTGACTGTTGGAATCACCTCTTCACCACATGCATATTTTGATCTAACCACACGAACCCATAACTTGTTTGGCTGGGAACAAAGAGCTCAACCATTCTTCATCATAAAACAGGTGTTTACCTTATGTGCCTCCCGTAGACCTAAGCCGCCCACATCCTTAGGCTTGCAAATTGTCTCCCAAGCAAGGGCATGAATATGACGATTATTGTTTGAATCTCCCCACACAAAGGAACGACAAGCTTTATCAATATCATCACAAAGCTGTTTAGGAAAAGAGACTGTTTGCATTGTATATGTTGGTAAGGAAGCAAGAACCGATCTAGTTAAGGTAAGTCGCCCTGCAAAGGAGAGGTTCTTAGATTTCCAATTACTTAATCTTTTGTTAATATGATCCATCACAGATTGAAGCTTCCGTTTGTTGACTCAGTCATGGTGTAATTGAACTCCAAGGTATTTTCCCAAGTTATCAGTGCGTTGATATCCTAAGAAAGAGCTAACCTCATTCTTGACTCTCCACCCCACATTTTTTGAGAAAAAGACTTGTTTTTTCCTGGCTTACCTTCATTCCCGAGCTCTTGCAAAATAAATCCATGCATGTATTAATTATTTCTGCTTGATCCAGAGTTGCTTCTGAGAACAAGATTAAGTCATCTGCAAATGCCAGATAGGATAATGGTGGCCCTTTCTTTGACAGCTTGATTGGCTTCCACAATTTATGATTCTCCGCAATGTCAATTAGGTGGAACAACCTTTCCATACATAAAACAAAGATATACGGGGACAAGGGGTCCCCCTGACGAATACCACGAGATGGTGTAAATTCAGATAGGGCCTCCCCATTCCACAAAACCTGCATAGACGGGGAAGAGATACAATGCCAAATTAGACCGATCAAATTTTTTGGAATTCCGATATCAGTTAAGGTTTCACGTATGAATTCCCAACTTAGCCTATCGTAGGCCTTTTCTAGATCTATCTTAATTGCCATCCATCCTTTTCGTCCTGACTTGTACTTCATGGAGTGGATCACTTCTTGTGTGATAATGATATTATCAGTAGATTGTCTAAAGGGAACGAAACTACATTGGTTCGGACCCACAAAATCTTCCATAATTCCTCTCAAACGCGTAGCTATAACTTTCGTGAGAATTTTGTATGACACGTTGCAAAGACTTATAGGTCGCATCTGTCTTAAGGAGGTAATATTATCAACCTTGGGAATAAGTGCAATAAAGGTCTTGTTTATTTCAGCCACCTTAGTAGGGTCATCAAATATCGACGTAAGCAGCTCGCAGATTGAAGGTCCCACTGTTTGCCATTGAGTTTGGTAAAAGAGAGCATTAAACCCATATGGACCAGGAGCTTTTAACCCTCCCATACGCTTAAGAGCAGTAAAGATCTCCTGTTGGGTTAGCGGTATTGCCAATTTGTCTTTATCGTGTTGTGGTAATTCTGGAAATGAGTTCGTCAAACAATAAGGTTCATATCTTCCAGAATCAGTAAATAAATTGCTATAGAATCTTGTTGTCAGCGCTTCCAGTTTCGCTTTGTCCTCAATCCACTCGCCTAATTCATTCTGAATTTTGACCACTTTATTTTTCCGCCTTCTGACTAAAGTTGTTCCATGAAAATATCTTGTATTACGGTCACCAAATTCGAGCCACTTGCATCGCGATTTTTGGAACCATAATAATTCTTCTTGTATAAGAACATGTTCATACTCAGCCCATAATTCTTGGGATAGTTTCTCTAGAAAAGTGTTGCGGGCTTGAGAAAGCTTTGCCGTAATACCATTTAGCCTCCTTAAAAGCCTTTGTTTCCTAAAAAAGATGTTACCAAAGGTTGAGCGATTCCAGCTTATAAGATGTTATCGTAAGGAAGTTATCTTGGTATTTCAGTCTGGTGCGTCATTCCAACTAGATTTTATTAGATCTGAAAACCCCGAATTGGTAAGCCATGCAACCTCGAATCTGAAAGGACGTTTAGCTGGGTTAGGATTGAGCGTACAATCTAATCTAAGCATAATAGGACAATGATCCGACTTTAGAGGGTGTAGGTGTAACACATTCGCATGGGGAAATTCTAATTGCCAATCCAAATTAGCTAGAACTCGATCCAGGCGTTCATACAAATTTCCTCTCTTCCAAGTAAAAGGTGACCCTTGGAAACCCATATCGAGCAAATTGCACTCACGCACCACCTCGCGAAAGGATTGATCTCCTCTATAACATACCTTGCGAGTCCCACCATATCTCTCATCATCTTGAAGCACAACATTGAAATCCCCTAATAAACACCATGCCCCATTGACCTCAGTAGCCAATCTTTTGATGTCTCTCCATAAATCCACCCTAAATTGAGAGTGAGGACTTCCATACACTATAGTCATAAACCAAGAACGTGATGCATGTTTAGCTTCCACATGGATAAATTGATTGGATTGACTCAGAACAACAATCTCCCAAGTAGATGAGTCCCATAACAACCATATACCCCCTGCAAATCCTTGAGCATCAACGATGAAAGAACTATCGAGATTAATACGATTTAATACCTTTTGAGCTGTCAACCCATTAATATGGGTCTCCAATAAACACAACACCCCCACTTGGTGTTCTCGAATAGAATTATTAATGAGGGGAATGAAACCTTTGCTCCCCGCCCCTCTGCAATTCCATGCAACTATATTCATGATCCACGGAATGGGTTTTTGGAGTTGGAAACTCCAGGTCCACTCTTGTCATCCTTTGTGACTTGCTCCTCTAATGAAGACGTTGAACTTTTCTTGCGTTCCTCTTCGAAGTGACGACGAAGTTGATTTGCTAGCTCCATGGTTTGAGCATCAGGAAGTGTGATATGAGTAATAGCCTCTAGGCCTTGAGTAATAGAATTGTTCCCAGCCGCCTCAATACTTTTCAGCCCTGCCATAACCCTAATTGTGTTGGCTTCCTCATATGCTGCTTGAGAAGCATGCATATCTGGTGACGTGGTAGGAATCTTGATATTTGAATGGGACCCATTCGCTTGAAGTATTGCCTGAGAATCAATTACTTTAGTTGAGGGTTGAGTTCCCTGCCTCGTATGGTTGTCACCTCCAACCTTTGCATAATTCCTTTTACCCACATTGATAGGGACGTGTGGATCTTTGTTACGTGCTGATTGTGGATTCTTCCCACCAGTCACGTTGCGTACCATCATGGAGGGCTTATGTGACCCAATATTACTAGGGTATGTTGAGTTAATTGTAACGTCCTTAACCATTTGGGTTGCAACACGTGGGGCCTCCGCATTAATCTTGGAATTATAATTTGAATTCGAGGTTGAGATCTTAGCCCGAGATTTATGGGGTTTTTTGTTACGACGTACAATCATCCATGGCCCATATTGTTCATCAGAGTCTGGTATGGGTTGGCCACCACTCTGCTCCGTTGCATTCTCTTGTGCCTGATCATGACTGTTCTCTTGCTGTCTAGTCATCTCCACGTGCCCATCTACTTCCATAGCTGCATCAACAGACCCCATTGGTTTGCTATTGGGTTCAATACCTAAACATACCTGGTCTTGAGGGCAAAAATCATGCTTGTGGCCATATCTACCACACTTGAAACATATGGAGTGCAGGCCTTCATATTCTAGCTTAAGAATATGCCCGAGCACATTAATTTGTGACACTAGCTTTTTCTGTAAATCGATCTCCACACAAATTCTGGCAAACCGCCCACGTGATTGGATCGAGGTCAACTTATCGATCTTCAGCATTGTTCCTAGTTTGCTCCCAACCCTCCAAAGAAATCGGTCATTGAAAAGTTCAATAGGTAAACCCGGAATGCGTATCCATGCAGCTATCTTACGAGTTTGTGTCGCTGTTACCGTAAAAAATGGCCTCCACCGTTGGACCACAATATAATGGTCCGCAATAAGCCATGGCCCCTCAAACAATGCATGCTTGTAGTCCTCCTCAGAGGCGAACTGCACAAGATAGTAATCTTGAGATAGATCCACCAATCTAACTACTCCATTCTTGGCCCATTCTTTTTGAACCTTATTATCCAACATTCTAAAGGCCACCCGTTTCCCCAAAACGTGAATAACCAAAGATTTCTTCCATGGCGCACACCATTCTTCAAACTCTTCTTGAGTGACATGAATCTTGGGACATGGATCAAGTTCTGTATTATCACCATCAGATGAATCTTGCTCCTTGTAGAATTCCTCTTCGGGATACTCCATCTCTTGAAACAAACTGTTGAGATCAGAAAACACCTTCCCTCCTCCAGATGAGAAGAGGCTCTCCATGTAAGACTTAAAGTTATCAGTCATACATGTATCCGTAGTAATAGGTGGCTCAATGTCAGACTCCTTCGTCTTTACCTTTTTGGTGCTCCAGCATAGTGGATCGTCTTCCGAGGCGCCTTTCGAGATCGAGACCGAAACCCTAGACGTCGTTGCCATCTCTTCTCTAGAAATTATAAGTACTCACCTCTTAATTAGTCATCCTAGCTACTTATAAAAATAAGATTACTCCCTACATATATTTTTATTTTATATTATTTTCTTCTATCATCTTTATCTTTTTTTTTTATTTACATTATTTATGAAACTCTAATGTATTTCTACCTTAATATGTTTCTTTGTAAACTATGAAAAAACAAATAATTAATACTACATAATATATATTTTTGTTGTAAAAGATAATATATATAGTGAATAACATTATCCATTTTAATTTAGTATATTTATAAGATATAATTAATAGGATATTTTATTAATTAAAATTATTGTTGTAAATACTACTTTTATTATAAAAAAATTTATTTATTGAATGAAAATACCTTTTATATATATATATATATATATAATTGATCCCCTCTGGCATCTAAGCCTAAATCCATCCTTGTATATGAGCTTAACCTAAATCCATTAAAAAGACTATCCACTAATTATCTAAGCATTGAGTCCAATAGTGTCAAGTCCAATAGTGTCAAGTGTGAGGAAGTGTATTAAAAAAATAAAAATAAGATTCACATTAATTAGAGATAAGGCAAAAAGATATATAAGTGATAGACAATTCTCATTTTTAAAACTAGTTTTATAATGTTAAATTATACTCATAATCTATATTTTTTATGGTATCATAGTGAGTGTCGTTGGCTTTAACTATCAATCTATTTATTAATAAGTCATTATCAAACCATTCATAGATATCTAATCTTGCAAACTTCACTTATATGTAGAGATGTTTGCAGTGTGATTTGTTCTAATTTTTGTCTTAAAAATCATCTGAGCCGAACAAAAAATTAAGTGCAATTTGGTTTGAATGATTTATGAAATCTAAACTAATCCAAACAAATCTTTTTATGATTTAGTTTCTTTCATTTTTTGCAATTTTTAGAATTTATTATTTAAAAATCAACTAAAAATATTTAATATTATGTTATTTTTTTAAAATCGTATGTAAAAAATAATACTAAAAGTATATACATATTAAAATATTTTGGTCAATTAATATATTTAATACCAATTCTTATCTTATCTTAGTAACACTATTTCTTTAATATAATTTTGGTTATTATATTAAATATTTTTTCTCATATATATATGGTTTGCCACTTAATTTTTTTTGAACACCATAAATAATTCATAATTTTTAGTTATAAAATTCAATTTAATTGTTTACAATTTTATAAAATATCATTTAAATATTAAAACGTATATTTGAAGAGGAAAACACTTGTTTACTAACTTACAATTTTATAAAACAATTTTTATATTATGAGTCAATTTAATTTGGATACATATATAATTTGTATTTGAAAAAAAAATATTTACAAATAAATGCGATTTAATTAGATTTGCATCAATTTTACATTTTAATCCTAAAATCTAATTAAATTGCACAATTTTAAAAATTTAAAATCCAAACTGAATTGTTAATTTAATCAATTTTCAGTTTTTTTTATTATATAGATTTACAATTTTTCATTTAAGTTAATTCGATGTTGAACACTTCAACTTATATCACTATTATTGACCATCTGGAAGTAAGATGTTTTAACCTGTTGGTTAGAATGGTTTGGGCATGGATTAAGATCGAGGTTTCCAACATATCTGTTGCGAGATGGACACCGGCTGTTGGAGTTTGTCCTTCTGCACTCTCATGCTGCTACAATGGCTACTATTTTGGATATGTTGTCCTGGGATTGTCCTTTTCATGTGTTGGCAGGGAAGCCAATGTTATCATGCCTCATTTTTCTTGCTTCTGCTGTTGGGATGATGCATCAAGCCAATCTTCTCTAAAGTCTAAGGTCAGTTTCGTTGTTTCTTATTCCACCCAATAAAAAAAGCCATGCACAATTATTTAAATATACGTGCAGTTATTATTAGAAAAAATGTATACATTAGAAGAAGAAAAAAAAAAAAAAGTATCGCGCATCTCTTTATTTATTAGAAGAAATTAAATAATATTATTACAGTAAGTGATTAATAAAAATAATGAATAATTGCAATCTCTGAATAAAAAAAAAAAAAAAAAAAACCAACATCACATGCAT